TAAGTTTTACGAAAGTCATCGTTTGCAAAGGTAAATCTGCGCCCACGGTAATTTGGTGTTTCATCAAGATAGAGACGTTTCTATGAATGCTGAAGATCTACTTGTTTCACAAAGCAATGGTTTGCTATTCTTCCAGAGAAATTAGGGAAATTACATATTAATATCTAATCTTATGGCAAAAGCCTTTCTCAACAAGAAAAACTTTGTAAGGAAGAGATCTACCAATATGACTCTTATACTGAACAGTGCATATGACGTGATACTTATATCTGTCCTTGATAAAGTCAAAAATTCGAATTTCACCTTGTCAAGTGAAATTGCTAGAATGACTGGCAAAAAGAGTGTACGTTTATACCACGGCCACCGCCTTAACTTACGACATATGCTGCTCAAAATAATTTTCAAATGACTATCTGGACGTAAAAACAAAATCTGAAGTTCACCTAGCACCCTCTCTCATCCAGTATCGAACAACATTCGGTTTTGGCTTCTCTGGCTCCAGATACGAGGCAGAGCTAGCGCCACTGTTATATGCCAAAGACCCTGATAAGTTATTCACAGTTGCTGCACTGCTTAATAAAAGATCGTTAGATAATCCCAGTCTGGGCATGCGCTTTCCCAAGTTGCTGTTCTCATCCCACGAGTCGAATTTCTTTACGATTTTTACTTTGGTTTGTTTGTCGCTCGTGGATAGGAATGTATAGTCACGTGGTGCTTCCCAGATCCCTCCCCAGCGGTTGTTACCGTCTGCCTCAATTCGGTATTGAAAGAATTCCTGCTTGACGACAAGGCAATACAAACGTAAGTGTCAATGGAAAGTATTGCATTTCCATGATCTAAATATGGCGGAAAACGCGAGGGACTAAGGCAAAGCTAAAGCAATCATGAATAAAGGGGGTAAAAGCTGTTGGATGATTTCGTATGGGCACCAACTTGGCGGAAAACGCGAGTGACTAGGGCAAAGCTAAAGCAGTCATCAATAAAGGGGGTAAATTTCTTGAGAAATGATGGAGCTGCATCTGTTGGGGAGTATAACAAGATAATTTGGTGTTATTGACTCAGTTGATAAAGCCAAATCATAAAGCAATTATGGATTTCTTGCAACAAATATTTGAAAATTGCTCTATAGTGCATCCTGGGTTACTTGCAACAATCACTCTACAATTGTTGTTTGATCGGGTCTCCATGGGAAATATCAACGTCTTTAAAATCCATATATCAATTCAAAAGCGACATTGGCCCACGAGGGGGAAAGCAGTTGGATGATTTCGTATGGGCACCAATTTGTAGTGAAACATTATCATTTATTTTCCTTCAACAAATATACTGAGCATGTCCTCGAAAATCACCCCTCGATCCCTAAGAAGTCAAACTCATCTCATTGCGATGGATTCACCTGAGCTTTGTCAAAGTCCTTTATGGCGTCTGCAAGCCCCAGTATGGAATAGTCATCTTGTAAAGAAGGCTTGTTTGAGTTTCTTTCTTTGATGCTGTCTTTGTCCCACCCGCTGTGGGTCTTACTCGTCACGAGTAGCGTCCAGGGCCCTCCCTCAGTCGTAAAGTCGCAATACGTTTTAACTTCATGCTGTCCAGGAGGTTTGATCGCGAAAAATCCAACTGAAAAAGAAACAAACAAACAAAATTCACGGTTACACTTAACTCTGGGAAAACTAATCAGCCACGCGCTTCGAATGCCATCCTCAGCCCTGCCTAGGGTCGCCTTAAGACGGACTCCCGACGAACGACGAAAGAAAAGCTGTCTTAGGGAAACTTGGAGGAGAATCGTTGAAAGGGGATATAAGGGATGTAGGCTGGACGTGGGGGCACCTTAACTAGCAGGCAACCGACAAAAATTAGCGGCGTTAAACATTTTTATCGAAATCAAATTTTTCGACCAAAATACTATTGTGGCTTTCTCATAGCTCGAAGACAAATTTAGGTGGTTTCAACTCATCATAGCCATTGTGGCCGTGCCTTACTCATGTTAATACAACAGGGCTCTAAGATTAATTTTATTCATAAAATAAATTTTTATATCTGGCAATCATAAAATGGTTGCCAGATGTAAAATTGCCTGAAAACAATGGAAAAAGGATATGACACTCCGTGTTACTTCAAAATGCGATGTATTTTATCTCTGGTAATCATTATAGGAGACCCACCCGACATCTCAAGGCTTGGTACTCGACCAACCAAGACAAGGACCGTTTATACAATTTTATTCTAGGCACACATTTATATCACTTTAACATGGATAGTTACTTTATTCACTTTCATGGACAAATCTAGTCGTGAAAATGTTTTCCTATTCTTCATGGTGAATGAAACAATCACGGCTTATTAGGATGTGAAACAAAAAGTCTTTCACTGAATTTCTCCCTGAATTGTTTTACAATCAGTCAAAGTATTTTCAGCCAAAGCGTTTCTTTGACGCGCAATCAACTGGCGACTGTTTCTATTCACTCAGGCGCTCAGAAAAGAATCTCAACAGCTGATCAGAGCAAATATAAATATCAAAACCGGGCTATGAAGAGTAAAATCTAAACATAAGCTCCTGAAGCGGCCCCAAAGGTGAAATGTGTGAATGTCGTTGGTTAAAAAATTAAAATCCTTTTGCCCTTGCAAGATTAAAGAGAAAATTAAAGCACAACCAATGTAATCAAACATTTCTTCTGACACTGAACAAAGAACTATTCCAATAATTTTGAGTTATTGGATTAAACAACTCAGCCTGGTAAACCATACCCAGACTTACTTGACACGGGGTTTGTCAGGAGCCCTCTGAAGTATACTTCTTTACATGAGCTAGGAGTTTCATGAGGTCCCTCTCTCATCCAGTACCAGATATATGATGGCCGACGCTCCTGCAGGTGACCGTTGATCCATGGAGCGGGGTAGTATTCCATATCGTCCGCTAGAAAAATATATCAACTATCAAATCATTATCTGAAATAAATGTTTCGAAAGGATCCGATGAGAAAGCACACACTTTATCTGCTCCTTTTTCCTCAAGACCAACGCTGCACTTCACTTCAGGTGATTTTTACCCGAGGTAAAACATGGGAAACTTTCGTTAAAATCTTTGTTACAAAAACATTGGCTGTGGGAATGTTTTCCTTCGAAAAAATTGTAAAATAAATGTTATTAGAATCTTCAAGCCATAAAAAAATAACTTAGACGACTGACAGGAAGACTGCATGTAGAAGGATCATCAGGCTTTCCTTGTCACTTCAATGATTACCTCGAAAATCAAAATTAAATAAAAGAAACTTTATTTTCTTCGCCTTCGGTATTTTTTAAAGAGTGCGTGGGAAGTTTATTGCTTGTTTATTATATAATAGTAAAGGCTATTCACATGTTATTGTCCCCCACCAATGTCGCTGAGCATCCTGGGATGTAGTTAACTTGGCATCAGAAATCCACGGCATTCTTTGTTCAATCCCATAGTCTGAATATTCCCAATTGTCAAACTTCTTGACTAGCTCAATATCCGTTTGTTTGTTGTTGTCAGCTGTGAACGTAAAAACTCTGGGCGCCTTCCAGATACCTCCCCAGCGACCTAAAAAATAAAGCATCTTTCTTCATGATTTAGATTCACATTCTGTTTAATGGTCATCTCAAAGTGTCCTCGTGCATAAAACTCCACCGAAACACAAATAAACGCGTTAACTGTAAAAGAGTACGAAGAGCCACTACGGTGTTAAGTGATGTGAATTTTGCCCTTACATTTGAAGACGTATGAGCTTTGTAACCAACAAATGAAGGGAAAATGGGAAGGGGCGGATGGAGCCCCTTTTAGTTCGTTTAAGTCTTTTACCCTTTTTGGAAAAATCTAACTATACTTAGCAAGAATGCGATGTGCTCTACCGGAAAAGAATTTAGTGTGAGTTATGAAAATTTTGGCGATATAGTATCCTCCATGTTGGTGAACACGACAATAATTGTGTTCCTCAATGTTTAACTTAAAAAAAAGGTTAATAAAAAAAGAGCAAGCAATTGCATTTCGTGCAATTGTTTTCTCTTTGTTAGCATATTCCCCTGCAATGTTTTTATTGAAATAATTACCTGGCGATTTAAAAAAAAAAACACGACTTCTGACTTTCATGTTGACCACTCTTTGTTATTGCGGCTACGGAAACTCGCTTCGCTAGCAACCCCTGCCCTGCCCGTTTGAAAGGGAACAAGGTTTGAGTATAATGAGTTACCTCGGCTCTGAGCTTCTAATCGATATTCAAACGTAGAGCCAGCTACTTTGATATTATCTTTAATACTGTCTGCATACTGCAGGATGGAGTAATCATCAGTCAACTTTGGAGAGTTCGCGTTTCGTAATTTTACATTCTGTGCCATCCAGCTGTTAGTATGACTGGTAACCAATAGTGTCCATCCTCCACCGTCACGCGACATATCACAGTATGCCATGATTGGCTGGGAACCTGTGGGGTAAATCTTGTAGACGGCATCAGGATAGTTGTGATTCGTTTCTTCGCCAACTTGTTGTAGGTGACGGCATGATATCACCTCTGAGTAGCAAATACAAAAATTTACAATTAGTATAATTTTGCCACTGGTAAAGTTTTTGCTATATTTTTCCATTGGAATGAAAACAGGGGGAGACGTGCGATGATGTTGGTGGTGATGTAACCGCTGCTAATGAAAGAATAATTATCTGAACGACTCTTATAAGACGAGATTTTATCTTCCAAGTTCTTTTATTGATCTATTTACTAATTGAGACAAAACTCCAGATTTCATAAAAGTACCAGTTCAATCGGTAAATGGCACCAATAAGTCAGATCTCTTTTAATCTAAAGGCAAAAAGTGACGAGTATGAGCCAATTGAACTCCAGAAGGTCAGGATCTTTCACAACTTGTTGAGCCGATCATTTTTACTCTCTGTTTTAGAAAAGGCATAATACGATACATGTGAAAAGGATTAGAAATTTGCACTTGAACAAACTTGTTCCCGTGATTTCCCCTTTCTATTTCGGCACATTCCCCTTTGTAGCACTAACTTTTTATATAAGAAAATTTACTATTCCATTTCTCTTGTAAAATGCAACAAGAATCACACTAAAAAATTGCGACACAGGTTTTAAGAATATTTTCTAGCCTCACAGAGTAATTGCTCTTTTGCAGTTCAAATATGAGAGGACTAGTTAAATCAAAGTACAGAAAAAAGGAAGCAACAGAAAGTTTTAAAAGTAGATTTAAATTCACTTGGACAACTCTGGGTATTGCAATCCTCTGTCTCGTGTCGTTTTTCAGAGCAGTCAGCCCCTCCATGTAGAGGAAATGGATTGTCACAGAAGCGATGTCTTTTTCTCTTTCCACCATCACAGAGCTTGTCACAAACAGTCCATGAGGACCAATCACCCCACGCTCCATCTCGAGGCACTAGAGCTGGAATGAAACAGTTTAATAAATGCAAGCATTACAAGTGAGACTGTGATAAACAAAACCTTAGCACAAAGTAAACAATTGTCAACCAATTTTTTTTTATTTTGTGCCATCTTTCAAGGTATTTTTAAAAACTATCGATTGTGGAAAATTTGGAAGAATACAAAAACATACTCTTGTTATTATCATCGGGAATCCTTGGAATATACTTCATTCAGCAAAACAGAAGGAGAAATGAATCTATCACATGAATTATAAATTACTTCTGAAACGGCAAACTGACTGATAATATCAGTAACAAAATCACCGAAAAAAAAACCAGAATGTCTCATCAAGAAGGTTAAGTTCTCCAGTTTAGTATTATCAGCACACAGATTAAACATAATTAAATTACACTTTGTTTATCATGAGTGGAAAACCCAACTTAAACTTTCCAATTTTGTCATTCGAAACTTGTTTTAACCTTTTACCTGATGCACAACCGTCCTTCGAATCAAATGCTCCCTCACAATGACACACCTTTTTGTTTGTGCAAACCTGAAGAAATAATGAATACACATCAAACACGACATGAAAATCCTGCAAAAAAAAAAGTATTTCTACACAGCACTTGGGGTAAGAAAAAGGGCTTTTACTTTTTTAGTAGTTGTTTTTCAACAGCTCTGATTGGTGCAATTCGATCCTTGCTGTTTAACTCAGTGATTTGCTCCCTCGGAGGTTCGCTGTCCGCGGTCGGACTTCGACGGTCGACTTCGAACATTAATTGTCTGTTTTATCATTGGACAAGTTTTGATTTTATCAGGAGTTTTATAAACAAACAATTAAACACTTTTCACTTTAAACAGTTGCTGATACACACATGATGCCTGAGTTTCTACGTTTTGCTTGAAATTAAACAAAGAATTTTCTGAAACCAAAGTAACATTATTTTGAGAATCGAGCATAATTTGAGCATTTTTTTTGACGTAAAGTGGAATTTCCAGGAGCATAAAATGCCAGTTTTAGTAGCATAATCGGGATAGGCCTTAATTCTTTAATTATTGGATAGATAAACCATCAAGCGGAGCCTAGGAACACCACTTAGACAAAATAAATAAACATGTTTGTGACACTTGACTCGGCGGGAAGTCTTTATGCAAATCTCATAAAGGACGTGACTTTAAAGTGATCGCAAATGGGAGGATATTGTTAGGAAAAAATGTTTCTCGCTTTTGAAGGCGAAATGGTGGGGGCAATAAATTGACAATAGGTATAACACAGACAAATGCATCTGCTCCATTGTATGGTAGGTTACAACAACTTTCAACTTCTTTATCAGCACTCAGCATTCTTTTCTCCTCCACGACATTTTTTGGGAATTTTCTCATTTTTGTGACCCTACATAAGGAATCTTCCCTGCATCCACCTTCTAAACTGTTCTATCGTTGTCTAGCAACAACCGATCTGTTAGTCGGTCTTTTAATTCATCCCCTCAGTGCTACTCATTGGATGTCCTCGCTTCGTGAGAAATGGAGAATTTGTCGATACACATTTTGTGCATGGTATTTAACTGGCTGTATCTTATGCTCAGTATCCTTAATGACGATGACAGCTATAAGCGTGGACAGACTTCTCGCCTTGCTGTTGAGACTGATGTACAGACAAGTCGTGACTTTAAGGCGCATTTATATCGTCATGGCCACCTTTTGGGTTATATCTGGAGTCGCTACTTTAAGTAGTCTTTTTGACTACACTATAACCTTTTGGTTTGACTGTGTCAATACGACAATTTCCCTGACAATCTCAATGGTTTCGCACGCAAAGATTTTCCGGGGTCTTCGTAGTCATAGCGCCCAAACTCAAGAACGTGTTCCGCAACAGCCAAGCCAAACAAATACACTGAACATAGCGCGATACAGGAAGGCAGTGTACAGTGCATTGTGGGTGCAGTTAGCATCAGTTGTTTGTTATTTATCGTATGGTACACTGGTTATTGTGCTAAGTTTAAAGAAAACCAATTCATCAAATTTCATCTTCACTTGGGGAATAGCGCCAATATTAGTGTCCTTTAATTTAACATAAAACTCATTCCTGTACTGCTGGAAGATTAGTGAAGTAAGACAAGCAGTAAAGCAGAAAGTCAGAGAAGCGCTATGTTTTATACCGAGTTAGTTAGTCCTCGAGTTATTTAATCTTGGGTTCTTTAATATAGCTAGTGCGATAAACTCTTCGATTTTACTCCCCGATAAGAAGAAGCTTTGTCAAATCCGATAGTGAACCAAACAATGAATATTAAATCAGAGCTGGTGATTAAATTCGTGTAATCAAATTCAATTGTCCTAGCGTTCTTCATCTTCTTATTGTGAACCTTTATAATGTCAGCAGGTAAGTGTCTTTATAAATTAAAAAAAGAAACTTCGTGTCAGTTTGTAGAAATATTCGTTGATGCGTAAACGAGAAAATGTTTAAAAAAATGATCATGATTAGCTAAGTTGTTTATATATCGAGGTTTTCTGTGGCTTGTTGTAGATATAATTAGAAAGTAAAGATTATTTACACGTCTGCATTCATCAATCCGTTTTTTAAACAAACTGAGACGAGATCTTTTAAAGCATTACAAAAGTGGCGGAGGAGATTGGAATTTTCATTGAG